AGAAAGAACATTGGTATATGATTTTAAAAGTAAATCATGCATATAGCGTTTTGGTGTACAAATATGTGTGTTGGTGTTCATTGGTAGATGTTATAGATACCACCGATGCATTAATACAGACAAGCACATATATCTTTTTATACATACAGTATATGCAGGCGAACAAGAAGACACAGCAACACCTACACTGATATTTACACTTGATTCATTAAAGTGTCTTGTTCAGCGATGTCAAGTTCAGATAAAATGATTGTTGTCGAATAGAAGTCAAATCATTCTGCCATAGGGATGTAAGATAGTACAGTCTTCAAAGATGATCAAGATATCCTTATTTAGCATGTTATTTGGTGATATACTTATAGTAGTTTAGCAAATCTTTAGACAGAGAGACATCTTTTTTAAGTGTCGGGGAAAAAAGAAAAAAAGAATGAGATTGGATTTGTATGATCACGTTATGTCAAGTTGATATCCTTGGTGGTATTTTTGGGTATCTTTGTCTGTCTGGTGAACTTAGCAAGACTTTTTACTTGTCTCTGCATCAAGCTATGACCTGTCAGTTCTCTGTGGTTGCTGTTTGTTATATACTGTTTATTCTTGCTCTGTAGAAGTGTGAGTACATATTTGCCAGGTTAGAACATTCTAAGAATTACCTATAGTTATAGTTCAGTGGCCTTTACACTTTTATAATTGATTGTGACTGATTTTAGCATCTTCCTTAAGGTTAGTTCTTCAGTGTTATTTGTAGGTGAATTTCCTGTGTGCTAATAAAAATTTTGTCCTCTTTATAATGACTTAGCTTTTAGAGAAAAGAACAGTGCATTGGACGAGTCTGATGTGTACTCATCAGTAATGCAAGAAGATACATACAGCACTAGACTAATGCTATTGCTCAGCAGAAAGATATTAGACATATTAGTCAGAGTATGATTAGTTTATCAAGAGCATAAAGGAAGATAGTTTTAGGTTAGATGGAAGACATGCATAGAGATATCCATATACATACATGCACACATACATACTGACATGTATACATACATATCCCCTATCACACTCATAATTTTCCATAAACTGTTAACCCCCACACAAGTGAACACTCTCTCTCTCTCTCTCTCTCTCTCTCTCTCTCTCTCTCTCTCTCTCTCTCTCTCTCTCTCTCTCTCTCTCTCTCTCTCTCTCTCTCACACACACACACACACACACACACACACACACACACACACACACACACACACACACACACACACACACACACACACACACACACACACATATCACAATAACAGTCACAGTCACAAACAAATGTAGATCCATTCTACAAAACATATTGCTGTACACTTACTTTATACTGCAAATACCATTCATTTCCTAAAAAAAAAAATCATGAAGCAACACACATACCTTTCCCATGAACAGACTTATCCTTTTGCCAAAAAACATGACTCTATATTCCCTATAGGTATAAAAACAGAACTGGTTCTTAAAAAAAAATCTCATGAGACCTGCCTTCACTACCCTTCCAACATATATATACTCAAACACACAGACAACTACAGAGACATTTGCCTATACACTTGTTCCTCCCCTTCTCTCTGCCTCTGTCTCTAATGGTTGATGCTGGAGAGTGCTACACCCCTTGGAATAAATCATGGGCATTGTCCCTTTCGATATCATTAGTGTGCTTCAGCTATAGAAATATGTAGCCGTTTGTTTGTGGCAGTTCTCCGACATCAACCTGGAAAAAATAAATAAAAATATATTTTTTTCTCTCTGGATTCTTATAAAAAGGGTCTTTTGGAATGTTTTCTTAATGAAAAATGTTGCTTCTTAGTGTATGTTATGGTATTTGTTGAGTTAGTATAATTTTTTCCTCTTTTTCTTAATTTTTTATCTATTTATTTTTAGGGGGATTTAGTCTAGCATGCCTTGCCCTCACATGCATCTATCATACCATAAATCTGTAGTGATGTATGAAAGGCCTAATGTAGTTTTTTTTACCTGGTTCAGAGAGTTTATATACCGCATGGTTATGATTATTCTCTCGTTTCCTGCTCTCTCAGTCTTGATATGTTATTTCTATTTTACTTTCCCTTGTTTTGCAGCTTTGAGAAATGACTCTTTTTAAATCAGATTTGATAAAAGATCTTGCTTGCACTGCATATATATATATTTTTCATTATTCATTTGTCTTTTTATTTCCAACAAAGAGTTCGTTCAGCGGTCGCACTTCTAACCCATTTTGACTTTCATGGGGCTGTTCTGACATGGGTGTTATGTATAGTATCTGTGTCAATTCATACTTATATCTCTTACATGATATAGTAGTATAAAGTGTGAAAGTCAGTTTGGCCAAAGAAGATGTTATGCTTATATGTATGATCTGAATTTCATCTGAATTTTTTTCCTTTTCTTGTTGAATAAGGCACTTTTTTATTGCAAGAGATTTGATGAGGCTGTGCTGCATCTTTTTTCAGGATGATGTTTACGTACAATTCACCATTTTGATTTTCCATTTTTTTAAGTATATCTAGCAACATTTTTTTTTCCTTTTTTGCTTCTAAACTGTGATCTCTAAATTTATATTTTAATATGATCATAGAATCAACTAGTCTATATGTAACCTGCTATATAAGTAGGATGTGAGGCAAATGTTATAAAAGTGTAAATGAAGAATGAAAATGATGTATTCTGTTGTCATTCTCATTATCAGTTATTTTAACAGAGATAGGCATTGATATTCTTGATATTGTTTTTAGAATTTATTTTTAAATTCTTCAACTACTTTTGATAGAGAGAGAAAGAATGAAAATGAATTAGTTTTTCCTTTCACTCCAATTTCTGAAAAAAACTCTGCAGAACATAATTTATTGCCTATTTCTTATCAACAAGACTCTATTATATAAAAGAAAAAAAAAAGAAAGAAAGAAAAAAAACAACAACTGAGTTCTGCCTCTCTAGGTAAAGACGTCATTTCGCAATCAGCGTGTAAAGATTACATGGATATCACGAGTATGAGTGCCCCGGCTGGCTTAACATTTCCTTAATGGCTACGTGACAAGGGCGTGAATGCAGGAGGAAGCTCTGTGTGATGTGATTCCGGCTGTACAAAGAGACATCCATAGAGATGTACCTTCTTTAATGTTTCTTCTGCCTTTTGTAGAATTGGCCGCCAACCAGACAAGACACAATGCTTACACGAGCTACATAGATCTCGAAGATATCATTGAAGAGGAAGAGGAGACGCTGGGAGAGCATGGTAAGGACTTTTCTTTTTCTCTCTTTTTTTCCTTCTTTTAAGTTTCAAGTTTCATGTAATTTTGGTGCTTTGAATACTGAGGATTATGAATAATTTATATGCACATAAGGATACAGTGATAATGGAAAGATATGTTGGCTTATATTTGGCTCAGTGTTGCAAATCTTGACTGCATCCAGCTTTTTGGCGAGTTTTAAGGCTATACATACTTATATTTATAATAGATTTTTACTGACAAATGTTTATATATATTTCTTTTTATGTCTCAAGCATTTATGTTATTTATCTTGAGTTTTTATTTTTATGTCAAGAATGTATTGTCCAGAATGCAGTTTACATTCTTACAGTTTAAAATCTCATTGTAATAAAGTCTGTGGTTGTTAACAAGATGTGTAAAGATATAGCAACTGGGGTTTCTGTTTATAATAAAAAAGGTGTATAGAGAATGAGTGTATGTCTATTGTATGAATCCAATATACATATCTCATACTGATGCCAAACTAGCAAATATTAAATATAAGTGTCTCTCCCCTGAAAAAAGAAATAAACACTTTGATAACAACTAACAGCCATTGCAAGTTGAGAAAATCAGAGATAAAATGCCCAATATAAGCCATTAGAACCTCTGATAGGATGGCATTGTGTAAATACATCATAATGTATGTAAATTGGCCATTCATTTTAGCTGAAGAGAATCCCCATTTATGAGAAATATAGAAAGCAAATTATAAATCTTAGTAATCCGCTAGCTAGCTCCAAATGCTAGATTAGACTAGAAAAACAAGTTAGTTGAATCATAGCGGAAATGGTAGTATGACCCAGAAAATCCATAAAAAAAAGTTTTTGACTTAATCATTATGTCTTGCATATATATATCTATAAATATATTACATATAGCTGTAAATTTTCTAGTATTTCACTTTTGGCTTGACTCGATCAGTATTCACCATGAGACAGTGAGATTGGCTGACTTTATTTCCCCTCATCTCAGATAATAGCTTTCAAATGGCTCCCTCTTTTTGCTGGCTGTGCTCCCACACCCATTCCCCCTTATATGCTCCCAACACTCCCTCCCCTGTTGTCTGTGGCCATCGGGTTCCCCTTCCCCTCTCAAAATGGTGTAAGATACGGTGAAGCCTTTACAATGTATCTCATAAGCTTTTGAAACATACTACTTAAAATCAGCACTGTTGGATTAGTCCTCTTTTTTGTTTTGCGTTTCAAATTACAAGAGGAGTTTTTAATATAGGGGTTTGATAGGAGATATTTCAGTACATGATGGTCTTTACAGAAAAGAATGAAGTATATGGTTGTGAGCTGTATTTCCAAAGTGTATATTTATATGGCAGGGTACCAGGACATGCACACATATATGCACCTGTACATATGCACACATGCATGCATGTGTACACAAACACACTGACTAGACATACTCTTTCTTTCTTTCTTCTACTCTCCTCTCCTCTGCTTTCCTCTACTCTTCTCTTCCCCTCACTCTCTTCTCTTCTCTTCACTTCACTTTTCTTTTACTCCACCTTTCTTTCTACTCCTCTCTCCTTTCTCCACCTCTCCTCCCCATTCCTCCACATATCTCCAATCTTCTCTCCTCTTTTTTTCTTTCCCTCTTTCTTCTTGTTCCTCTCCCTCTTTTTTTGTCTTCTTCCTCTTTCTCTTCTCTTTTATCTCCCAATTTCTCTCTTATGTCTCTTCTCCTCCTTCCCTCTTTTCTTTTCTCTCTTTTCTCTTC